TTCCATTGCGTCTTCTAAGATAATAATTGACAGATTCTGAGCTATTTTTCCTCAAAGCCTCCCACACTTAATGACTTTCTCACAAATCACTAACAGAGTCCTGCCAGTCGAAGGTATTGGGTGTATGATTATTGCAAACCTTTCTTCTCCAATTAGACTGGTTCCTCCAGTGTCTCTGAGCGCACACACACACACACACACACACACACACACACACACACACTCAGCTACTATATAGCTGTTGTTGATTTTACTTTCTTACTTTTTTCTACCAGCCTAAATCCTGCTTATCCTGCATGCCCTCAATCAAGCAATATCATCTCATGAGCTATCCCAGAACCTCCCTTACAGATTTTTCAACTTTCACTACACCTGAAGTTTACAGGGTAGTGCCCTTAGGTCCAGGCAAGAGGACCCCTGCCTTGGGTTTGGGGCTTTAGACAGCCCATTTCTGACTCCCTCTGGATGTGGCCCTTTCCATGGGGCAAAGATTCCATAAGACTAAGGTAATAATAGCCTTGCCTGAAATCTTTACCTTCCCTTATCATAGATCATGCTCTCAGACCCAGAATCTCCTGCCCCAAAAAGCCATACAACCACTTTCGGGCCTTTAGGCCTTTTTACTGGGCTCATCCTCTCAAGGGCAGACCACATCACAGGTGTGTGTCCCACGAGGCCCAGGCCAAGGGGCAGCTACCTGGTGTACAGGCTGAAGTGTTCACACATATTTGCATGGCCCCTTAAGATGTGGGACAAGGGGGCATGGGAAGAAAAGGAGGAGAAGCCAGTGGGCCAGCTCGCCCACTCTATGTTGCGTCATTCTGATTACATCAGTGGGCCCAGGCATAATTTCCAGGTCATTTTGCACATTTCTCCAGCTGATATATCTTGTTTGTGTTAGATGTGGAATTTGGGCCACTCTGGGTTAGAAATATGTTTCACTTTAAAGTAATACACAAAATAAGCAGAAAGGGGAAGGGCTAATAAGATTAATAACAAGAGGATTGATACGCTGCATGAGATATAAACTTAGTCCTAATAACCACCTGGGTTTATTGTCTCCCTTTACAAATTAGGAAGCCAAGGCACAAAAAAACTGAGTTTTGCCCTGGTCCCATAGGAAGGTAGGGCCAGAATCTTTATGACTCTACTCTCTTCACCCCACCTCCCCATGGGTCTAACTCAACACTTTTGGACGGCCATGTGAACTGTTGACCTTAAACAAAAAGTCAGCCAGCTATTTCTCCAGCAAAATGAGTTTCTTTGGGAGCAACAAAGAGTTGCAATTTGGAACATGCAACCATGGCAGGCCACGTGTACGTCTCCTAATACAAAGAGGAAACTCTTTATAGTGGGGAAGTGGAAGTTGGGAGGGCTGTTACAAGCAAAGATTTCTCCCTGTTGTGCCTTGGGATTGATGTAGGGCCTGAGAGCTCCCCCTTCTGGCCTCCCTACTTCATTTTAAATGAGGTTTCTGTTTACTAATTTATTAGACAACTATTCCTTAAAGAGTAACCAACAGATGGATAGTTTGCTGTTTGTGGATCTATGATGGGGAGACAGGGAATTGGTTCTGAGAGTTAGTTTCTCAAAGAGTGAGGTTTACAGGTGGAGAGCTGATTTGAAAAACTTGCCTGGCAGCATATAGGCTTGAAATAAGGAGCCACTCTTCCCAATCTTGGCACTAGTTAGTTAGTTGTGGGAGGAGAGGAGGAATTATGTGTTAGCTTGTTTGTTGGGGGATGGGGAACTGGGAGTTCCAAAGACTTTTGTACACGTTGACCTTGCAGAGCAGAGCAATTTTCAATTGCTTTTCTTGCTAATAACACTTTCTCTTATCTACTATGGAACAGATCTTAATAGAAAACTCACATTTGTCGTATAACGTTAATGAATATGAAACTAAACAAGAATATATCTCTCTGGTGGATAGATTTCTGAAGAACAGATATTATAAACATATTGGATGATACAATGTAAGAGTCGCAGGGCATTGTAGTCCAGCCTTCTCCACCCAAGGGAACTGAATCCCAGAGAAAGCAAGTGACTTAGTAATTCAGGTGAACCCAGATTTCCTGTCTCCTCACCCAGTGTGCTTCTCCTACAATATACAATCCACAATATACAATTGTGGATGAGCAAGCCATTTGTGTATCTATTTTAAAAATAATATTAAAGTCAAATAAAATGATATTAAAGGCTAATCAAATGTGACAAGTGTGTGTACTACCCCTATGGGCATGGGGAGTAGGGTGGCATTGTGTATAAGAGAAGGAAGTCTAAATCTTAGATCTTCAATGAAGTAGGGCTCCCTAATTCTCCCATGGGCATTTCTCCAAGGCACTTTGAGGTATGTTGCTTAAAAAAGCCTTCCAAATACCTCCATTGGAAAAGGTAATAATATTAATAAACTTTTGTTCAAGGGAAGGAATTCAAGTGCATACCACTGCTCAAAGTTATCTCTTTGTTACTAGGTTTCAGGAAATCTAGTAAATATTTTAAGAACAGTGTGTTTTGTCTGAATAATAAAGATGAAAGAAGATGCCTTAGGAGGTGGGAATCAGAGTGGAGAAAAATTTCTAGCGTTTTTTTCCTAATATTCCAAAACACATATGGCTTTATTCAACTGTAAGGTAAACAGAACATGGAATTTACCAGAAAAAAAAAGTAAATAAGACTGGTGATGTCAGCTTTTCATACTCTAACTATTAATTAATCAAAGTGAATTAAGGAGAAGTAGCTCTCCTTTAAAGGATACATTTTCTTATGAAAACTGGAAAAGAACGTGTGGCACTTTAAAAACACTAAACCATGTAAAAAACTACAGCAGGACTATAAGCCTTGTTAAATCTATTTGTCTAAAGAAACGAGAGGTGGATCATGTTTAATAAGGCTTAGATATGCTCACTTGATCTTCCTGGAATTATAATTTTATTACAACCAGATTTATTGAATTTTATCTGATTTTACTTGCATCTTAAAACATCTGCAAGTAACATAATTTACCTGCATATTTGTCATAACAATATGCTTCTTCCTGATTTTAACAGAACTTAGTCCAAGTGTTAATCGAATCAAGCTGTTCAAAACGGCATGTCTTTGAACACACCACACATAGTAATTAATATGTCTGGCAAGCGTCGGTTTTTCTTTATTTTTAAAATCAGATCATTTAAAGAAGTTATTTACTACAAATGAAAATTCCCCGCCCCCCACACGCCTTTTAAAGAGCAAAGTGAGAATCCAAGGCAAGAGGGGAAAAAAATGACCGCTATGCGCATGTGCCTGTGCTGCGGAGTAACAGGGTAACTGCAGGAGATCCGCTACTCGCTGGGCTGCTGCCCGCGTTACGTCAGCGAGAGCTGCAAAGTTCCTTGCCATTCTTTGCTCATGTCTGGGAGCTGAATATTAAACGGGTGAAATGTGGAGTTAGTTGTTGGTTAGCTGTGTGTGTTTTCCTTTTCCTATTTTCATTCTTGATTTTAAAATCTCCAGGTAAAGCGATACAGAACCAGTTGCTTAAAGACATCAGTGGTGGAGGGGTGAGTCAGCGGGTGCAAAAGGACCAGGAATTGGTTCCTGGGAGAGAAGGTCCCCTCTCCCAGCAGAGAGGAGGCGACAGGGCTTCTCCTGGGACCGAAACCCCGACAGCTCCCGGCCGCGCGGGGACGGGTAGCTCTGCATCCGCGCTCCAGGTGAGTGCGCGGCGGCGCGGGGCGCGTGCATCCGACAGGGCGGATGGGTGAGGGCAAATCGTCCTCGGCCTCCGGGTGAGCGGAACCTCCAATTTCCCCGAGCGTCCCCGCTTTTTTTCACCCACGCTGCCACTAGCATCCCTGCGCCATCCTGTTTTCCTTATATATTCTGAGAAGTTGCCTCCTAGTTAACAAGTGTGCTTTCTAACCCCATATGTATCGCCCCGAGTTAGGGAGAAAGGGTTTCTGTCGGTGCCTGCTTGTAATACCACCTATGAGCTCCTGAATTTGGGATTTTCACACTAGCCTTTGCCTGGGGGTCACGCCCCAGCGCCTAACCCGAGGGCAAGATGGGTCCCCACTCCACGTACTTCTGCTTGAGCTCCTCTGGTAGCCTCGCAGCTGTGGAAACTTAGGTTTCCTGTGCTGACGGTAGGCATCTCCTGTTCTCTGGCGCGCGGGCTTAATTTTTACGCCTACAAAATCCGCAGTGACTGTCACTTGCAAAGCGCCTTCTGCAGAGTGATACTTCTCTCCATCCCCTCAAACCCTCT